ATAAAGAGTAAAGTGCAATTGTTTTTAGAGAGAATTTGGTACAAGTGATCGTCGGAAAGAGTTAGTGATTTGCGTCCAGCTATCTGAATTAGTAGTTTAGAGAGATTAACTAAAGTAGTACTAAAAAAGAAAGGTACCAGGTAGACTTGAGGAGGAGTACCAGAGTTTGAGTGAACTCTATAAGAGCAAAAGTAGGTTGTATAGTATTAATCAGACAAAAAAACTAGTAAGAACAAAATAGCTGAAGAATACTTCTACTATAGAAACTGGCCACAAGTGGTGGGCTCCGGTTTGTGCATATCAACTGAAAACTAGGTCAGCCAGATTGTGAATACAGAAGGCTTTAGCAGGTTTGCCTTGAGAATAAAGAGCTCTCTTTAGGATTAGAGCCTGCTTTAAAGTTCTAAGTCGATATTTAAAAATAAAGAGATACAAAGTATCCTCACTCAGTTAATAGAGTAATTATATAGATGTAAAGAGTTTAAATAGACAACTCTCTAGTTGGATTATAGGTATAACATCTAGTATAGAACTTAGTAATAAGCAAACTATTTAAATAGACAACCAAAAGTTGTACATATAGCTAGTTGTACTCTCCAAATATATATACAGTATGATAATTATACTGTAAAAATTATAACTATAATCAAATAAAAGGAATGTAACCAAAAGGTCACCTTAACATCAAAAAAAAAAAATAATAAGCTATTTTTTTTTTTAGAAAAAAAACATAAAAATTTCTTAGATCTAAAAATAAGCTAATTATTAGTAGTTATTCTATAGTAAAGTCAAAATTTTACTAAGTAAATCAATCTATCTTGTTAAGTAAAAGTTGTTCAGAATTGATGAATTTTTTAAAATTTTTTTAAAATTTATATTTATTGAACATAAAAATCAAAAGTCAATTAATAAAAAGTTATCTAATTTATATAATATTTTTAAAATATATGTATTTTGATCTTATAAATAACTTTTATTTAATAAAGTAGATTGATTTACTTAGTAAAATTTTGACTTTACTATAGAGTAACTATTGATGATTATATAAATAACTTATTTTTAGATCAAAAAAATTTTTATATTTTTCTTTTAAAAAAAGAAAATAGTTTATTATTAGAAGTAAATTATTTTTGATAATATAGAGTCATTGCAGTAGAAAGAGTCTAAACTTCTCAAAAATCAAAATTAAGTTTTTGAAAGATTTGAATAAATTTTGAGACAGGCTATATTTTTTGATTATAAAGAGAAATTAATTTGTTTAATAAAAAATTAAATTATATATAAAAAAAAATTTAGAAGATTTGTATATTACAGTCCGGGAATATACCAAATTTGGAAATCGATTCTAGAACCGTTCTGGAATAATCCGTGGAAAATCCCTGAGCTGTGATTGGCTCTTAACGATCTTTTCAAAAGTTAAAATTTGTGGCTTTCGTAATTAATTAATAATATCCAATCGATATATAAGAAGAAAGTCGAAAACCTCTAGTCGCATAATCAGTTGAGATATTTTAATAATCAGTATTTTCTAAAAAGGTAGATGATGTTCGAAGAAATACAAAAATATATATCTAAATTTTTTAAAATTTGCGACTAAAACTTTTTTTTTTATTAGCGTGCGTACAAAACTCAAGAGTAAAGATGTCACAATCTTCAACTACTAAAGAGAAGCCAAAAGCCAGAGAACTTCCCTGCCTATTCAGTTACATAGTTAGCAAATATAAAGAACTTGGCTTAAGATCTTGTAAAACGAAGGAATCACAGACTTGGAGGCATGCTGATACTTCAGAAGTGACTAAACGGCTTAGATTATATGAAGATTTTATGCCTGAATTAAAACTTTACTTGAATCCTTATGCAATTTGTGAAAAACACTATAATCAAGTTATATCCACTAACCATTTTTATCAGCATCTTTTAGATAACCCTAATTCCAGTAATCCTATTTCTATTAACGATTCTAATATCCGCGAAGAAGAGTATAAACAAGCGATTGCTGAATTGCAGCAAAAACTAGAAGAACAAAGAAGTAACGAATATATAGTGATGTCAGATTTGCAACAGCAAATAGAAGATAGAGAGCGAATTATATCAGAGATGAAGTTGGAATTAGATGATCGCAATATTGTTATAAATCATCTAAATAATTTATTTCAAAGGCAACATGGTATAACTGAGCAACTTTTCTAACAATGGAATTCTCGGTATTGTGATCAGAATAAGCGCATACAAGCAGTTACCAACATTGCACTAATTGAACGAGAATCTTTATATGGGGATATTGAGGCTTTAATTAGAGATAATCATAGGTTTTCTTTGGAAAACCTACTTAACTATAACCTCCATGTGTGGCTAAGTAAACGCAATCAGGTTCTTGTAAAATTTATTAAAACACTAACATATAATAATTCCAATACAGGTTCTGAAAGTGCCAAGAAAATTTACAAAAGGGCTACGGCTGTTGATTTAGTGTATGGGTCCAGGCACAGAAAATATGTATCAGAAATGAACCTCGTATCATCAGCTATTAAATATTCCATTACAAGATCAAAAACCATTATTAACATCGATAGCCATATCACAAATTCTGGAAGTTATTTTCGTTTCCAGAACTGGTTAGATGAATTGTCAAAAAAAGAAGAAGCTCTACCAGAAGGCCTTTTATTTTTAGCGTTTAACAATGAACAAAGGGGGCAGAAAAATTATCTTGATCGTGGACTCAACACGGTGATATTTCATATTGTTACTAGCTTTGTTGCTTTTAATATAGAATCACAAAATTAAATTCAATACACTAAAATGCCTTGAGTATCAAGTACTCTTAATAGGTTGCAATACGAGAGTCTTTTCGAAACTACGCCTAAAATGCAAGAAGCTATAGACAAAGAGCTTCATGCTTATCTCTTTGAAATTCTTAATTTATTATGTGAAGAAAAATTATCTTTAACTAATAAAGTTGATATTTTTGTATCTAATTTAGGCTTGAATACTCATTACAGCAAACAATGTCCTAATTGTAAAAAAAAGGATATTGACAACAGAAAGCAAACTTGTCCGGATTGTAAATCTCATTTGCTTACATTAGCAGAAACGTCTAGACAGCATGCTGAATTAGAAGAAGACACGATAGACTAGTCAGTAACTTTTAGACCATATAATGTTGAAAAAGAAGCTTAACAATCTTCTATGCCAAGGATTAGTGTTACTCAGAAAATACATGCTGACGAAGGAGTTAACGTTCCAAAAATTTTTGTTCCCGATCCTCTTGATGTTAATCCTAATACTACTGCAAATATTAAAAAGATTTTTTTTCATATTAAAAAAATTTCAGGTATTAGTAGTGAGATACGCAAATGGGTAGTCGTAATATATGACGGCATTCCATATCATCGTGCAGCAAAAATCAAAGAGAAATATCTGTGGCTAATTCTCATTCCTGGGCCATTGTACGAAGAAATGAATATGCTTCGTACATATGTAGAATTAAATTGGTAAAAACTTAACATTGTTTTTAAATAATTTATTTTTTTTTTGTTTTATTTTTTTTATATAACCCTATTATTTAATAGGGATATCGATCTCAAACAATTCGCAAGATGTCAAGGGTATAAAACCAAAAATCAACTAGCTTATTTTAAGAAATACCATAATCATCATAAATCGTGGGACTCGGTCTGCAACATTTATCACCAAGCTATGGCTATGGAGCTGATGTGGCCATATGTCAAATGTTATCCAAATCTATCAGTAGAAGACTACTTGGTCTGGGCAAAAGGGCAAACAGATCCTCGTTATCAAATAAAATCCGAACAGGTGAGCATTATTTTTATTTTTATTGGGTTGCTATGATAAATATCATAAAATTTATAAATTTTATGTTATTAATTATCATAGTATAATTTTGATTATGCCCAATATATAATGATTTGAACCAGATTCTAATAACCTAGTATGATTAAGAGAATTTTATAATCACGCGCAAATACTTTCATCAGTCGAAGTTGATCGTGAAGATTCTTTACAATCAAATTTTGAGCGATATTAAGTTATAAAAGAACAAACATCTGCATAATCGATTAGAATCTGGTTCTATTCTCTAATAAATAAAAATATATAATTACAATTATTTCAATACTAATTAATTATTTTATGTTGAGTAGACTTTTATTTATCTACAGGCGATTGTTAATTATAGAAAAGCCGTTAGAGAGAATAATCTATTATTAAAGAGTGCTACAAGAAGGGTCTTTTCTCCAGTATGGTCTACACGATGTCATCCCATATATCATATGATAGAAGTTGCAGATGAAGTACAACTAATGCAGCTTGATCCAGATATACGAAATATTGTAGAAAAGAATAGTGTAGTTTCACGGTCAGGGCTTTTTAACCAGCATCAAGGGTTAGATACGATTTTGGAAGAGATAAATAAGGCACTAAAAACATTAATACCTCTCATTCCACAAATGCGATATTGGAAACTTGCTGCATGAAATTGTAAGAAATTTATGCAAGTATATGATTATTACATATAATCTAATTTATATTGCATAAATTTTAAGATTTAATACACAATTATACAATTGTAAATTTAGCTTCGAACCAATTTTTTCAATCAATTGGGTATAAAGAAGCTTCAATGATGGGTCCAAGAATCAGGCCGGAAGCAGATACAGAATGCTAAAGATTTCGAGCCCATCTAAGGAAGGAAAATTTCGTTAATCTGACGATGGATTCAAGAGCTACATGTAAAAGTTTGGATGAAGAATATGAATTAAGTACACAGTTGATGAATTTCACTATATTAGCTAAGCAAGCATGACAAGAATATATTATTGAAGTTTTTTATAACAATAATTCA